CCGAGCAGCTGTTGAAAATGGGATGTGCGTAGAACAAAAGGGCTTCTGTTCCCACAAGGCTGGGCCCGGGCCGGTTTTATGCATTCGGTTAAACAAGAGAGAAATAATATACACGATCTGGCAATTTCACCCACCCCAGATGGAGCGGGAGCCGGGGCATGTGAATCTGCTCCTCCCTCATTGATCTCGGTTGCCATGCTTCTCTTCTAGCGTGGCAATACATGGGATTTCTAAGGGTAATTTTAATGGTGTGTGCTTTTTTTTCTTTTTTTGGCCTTACACACTCTAAAAGCTAGAATGTTTTCAGTTATAAATACCTAAAATCTCAGACTAATACAGCAAAAGGTACTTATTGCTCATATATCAGAGAAATCCAATGGTAGTTCAGGCTTCAGGCATAGTTTGATCCAGGGGTTCACATTATCATAAAGACTCTAGCTCCTTCTCTTGATGCTTCTCTCATCCCTCCCCACTCAATGCACCAGCTCATACCCTCATCATCACAAAACGTCTGCCAAGAGTTTCAGGCCTTGCCTTCACACACAAGGGCATCTAGAGAAAAGAGACCACTGTGGTCCCTACATGCCAAGCAGAAGTCCTGAGAGTCACTCTGATTTGAGTTATTTAAGTCATCTGCCCACCCTGGCTCAATCACTGCAGCTGTGGGATTAAACTGGCCTAAACTGAGCTATGTTCTCCATCCCTGGAACTTGGAATAGGGCTAGACTCCCTGGATCCTCAAACGAAAATGAAAACCACTGGGAAGAGGGCAGTGGAAGCCAGGGAAGCAATCACACTGACGTTAGAATAGAAGCAGGTCGCTCCGTGGAACCTCTATGCACGGAAAATATTTAGTACTTGGTTTCTCAGCAACCCGTTTCCCAGCTGTTGAATGGGGGTGCTCCTCTTAGTCTAGAGGCAAAACCCAAAAGCTCCCAAAGCTGCTGCTGCTGTAGCCTGTCACACAAGGTCAGATCCGTCAGTGGGACCTCCCACTGAGTGCCTTTAAGACCACCCTACGCTGCCGCAGCAGGACAGATCAGGACATCAAGAAATCATGACATGGCTACACTGGCCACACCGGGCCACACCAGGCAGCAGGGATTACCTTTATGTCATCAGTGAGGGTTTCCTGGAGCAGGTGGGAATTGTTCTAGATCTTAAAGGGATGGGGTCCAGGATGGGTTCTGCACCCCATGGGGTGGGGGGTTCTGGACAATATACTGGGGTACAGAAATAAAATGATTTGAGATCTATTAGGTTTAGATTTTATCTGAAAAAACCAAGATTACTAATACTTAATATACAAATTGACGGTTTGCCCTGGTTTGATTTACATATAAACTTACACATATTGGGGGTACGTGTCATCTTTCTTCTGACAAGAGATTGCAATTTTAAAAGTTTGGAGACCAAAACTGCCTGAAAGGATGGAGCTGAGGATAAGCAGAATTGGGGATGAGTCCGGCGGAGCCTTGCTGGGGTGAGGCAGTGAGTCGGGCGGAGGGCCAAGAGCCAGGGGCCCTTCTCTTAGCCCGTGCCCTGCTGAGAGTCAAAGAGCCCAGCACCGGGCAGGGCCATGTCCAGCCTTCCTCAGGTGGCCATCGGGGGCGGGGGGAGGGCATCCTCCCTTGACAAGACCCTGCTGGGAGGGTGGTCACCAGGGAAGGGGTCCTATGGGGCTGTGGCTGGAACATCTGCTGCCAGTCCTCCCATCGGTCCGAGCCCTGCGCCCTGCGCCTGCCCGGAAGAATGCCGGGAGCCCGCAGCCGGTGACTCACGGCACACAGCCCGTGGAAACCGCTGATGCTCGCCACGACCTTTGGGTTTGCCGAGCCGACGGGTGCCCGTGCCAGAACGTATAGGGTGTCCAGCCCCCAGCGGCGCGACAGGCCCTCAGGCTGCAGATGGCTATATAAGGCTGAGGCCGCAGGGGGCGGCAGGGGTGCCAGACCCCAAGAGCAATTTAGCTGGTCTCAGTGGTGACGTGAACATTTTCCCTGCGCTTCGGCAGTTATCCCCTCAAACTGAGACTGAATCATATCCTCAAAACCTCAAGCCCGACAGGCACACGTAATGCCCAGACTCAAAAACGGAGAGAAGGGCTGGCCCAGGCCCCCCCTTTACGGGCAGCACGGAGGAAGCTGCCCCGGGAGAATGCCAGTCCCAGCCCTGCCATGGACACACGGTGGGGCCTGGGTCAGCTCCCTTCCTGGGTCCTCAGTTTCCGCATCTGTGTTATGGGACAGTAAGCCCTGCCCTCCTACCTCGTGAAGTGCTAAGGGCCCCCGGGGAAATGAGGTCTGAGAGAACAGAGACAGGATGTACGGGGCAGCCCTTATTCTTTGGAAAGGACAAAGCCCAGTCTTGCTGGAAATTTGGGGTCACGGTGACTTAGCAAATTTACTGCCAGATTGTCCCATCTTGGCCACTGCCAGGACACGCAACTTCTAGGCAGCCATCAGCCTTTGTGCATAACCTACCTAGATACAGTCTTCTATCCTCCAACTCCTGTGACTCTCCAGTGACCCTGGGAGGCAGGCGTCGTGGGAAATGTTGGCTCCATTTCACAGCCAAGAACACCGAGGTCTGGAAAGTTAAATGACTTCTCAAGGCCACACAGGAAGCTGGGAACAGAGCCGGGATGAGGACCCAGGCCTGGATCCTCAGTGCAATGGCCTCGTCCTCTGTCGGGAACCCTCCAAGCCGGCCGCCGGGCCTCGGAAGTCCACTCTATGCCATGGGAGGAGTTGTGAGGAGTCTGCCCTCCTCGGCCAGTGGGTGTTTTCTAGAAGACCCATGGAGCTAGCTGTTCTAGAAGATGGCTGTGGTCTCTGTAATCTAGAACGTGCTGTGCCCGACTCTCCCAGAGACACCCTGTGAGGTGCTCCTGGGTAGCACCCTTCCAGAAAGCGCCCAGCTCCTGGCAGCGGCGCCCAGAAGGTTCTGTGACACACCCCTTGGGAAGACTCAGTCACGTACCAGCTCGACCCTGACAACTGGGGCTGCTGGGGAAGCAAGGTCACAGCCCAGGGTCCCTGCTGGCCTCTCTTATTGTCTCTCCTCTTTTTTTTTTTTTTTTTCTGGAAAGAATGGAGTGACCTTGACCACACCATCACTAGCAGAATTAAGTAGCCAAAAATCACCTCGTCTAGACAAACAGATTTTATGGATCCAATTAATTCCTGCCAGTCAAAAATAGGCATGCTTAATAAGGGGATATATTTAGAATCTGTCATTATCTGGCTCCCCAGGGGAGAAACCGCAGCTCTCATTTCATAACTCTTAATTTCAAACAGAGCTCTGTGCGCTCCCACTTCGGGCCCGGCTTTGCTTCCCGACAGCACCGAGCCGGGCAGGGGCCGGGCCAGGGGAGCGTGTGCCCACCAGAAGCCACCGACGTCTCACGCAGCCGCACCTCCTGCCCAGCTCCTCACAGCCGTCTCAAGTCGGGGAACGGGTGGCGGCTTCTCCTCTGGGCCGTGCCCAGGCGGAGGGAAACTGCTGGAAGACAGGGTGCAAAGGGCTCCAGGAAGTCTCTCTGTCCCTGTGCCCCCAATTCCACCGCCATCTACTCTCTATCCCCCGGGGTCTGAAGGGCTCTGGACCGTGGCAGGCTGTGGTGTCGCCTCCCCTGACAGCACCCCCATTCCTGGGGAGGGTTATTGTTCCTGAGCCACTGTTCACCTGTAGCCTGGGCAGAGAGCTGGGCTGGCACCCAAGCCTGAGGGCCGCGTGCGCCAGAGTGACCTGCGTAGACCCAGGGGCAGGTGGGCAGGAGGGCTGGCTCCAGTCAGCAACCCCCAACCTCTCTGGGCCCTGGTGGTGCTGCCCCTGGTGAGCCCGAGATGAGGGGTAGGGGGAGCCCTAAGGAGAGTGCCTGGGGGCCCCAGTCAGACAAGAATTCTCCCTGGCCACAGCCAGGGCCCCAGGGTCACAGGCTTTCCCTCCAGGGCCCTGCCACCCGGCTTGGCAGGCCAGGAAGGAGTGGATCCTCATTTGTCCCCAGAAACGTGCGTGTTCGTAGGGCTCTGTAACAAATGGCCACACACTGGGTGGCCTACAAGGACGGAGATGTGCTCCCCCACAGCTCTGGAGGACAGAAGCCGCGACTCAAAGCCGCAGCAGGTCTGCGCTCCCTCCAGAGGCTCCGGGAGAAAAGCCCTCCTTGAGTCTCCCAGCTGCTGGTGGCTCCAGGCGTCCCTTGGCTTGTGGCAGCCTCACTCCTACCTCTGCCTCCGCCTTCACATGGCCTTTTGCTCGCCATGTCCTCTCTGTGTGTCACTCATAAAGACACTTGTCGCTGGATCGAGGGCTCACCCAGATAATCCAGGGCGTTCTCTACTCAGGATCCTTAACTTAATTACATCTGCAGAGACGCCTTTCCCAAAGAAGGTCACCAAGGCGCAGGCTCAAGGCAGGAAGCCCCGCTGTGCGGCTGCCTGGCCACCCTTCAGCCCTCCGCTGCCTTGTCCACCTTGAGCAAAGACCGAGGGGCCCACCGGGGTCACCAGCTGAAAGGCTTCCACGTAAGATGAGGACTGAGAGCCCTGCAGGCAATGACAGATGGCTCGAGAAGCATCGTTCCTCTGCCTGAACGACTTCTGTTACCCCCTCTCGCGTTTGGCAAACTCCTATTCATGTGTTAGGACCCAGCTCAGCCATCTCCTCCTCTGCCAGTGCCTGGCCTGCAGCCCATTTGTTGCAGGGCCGTGTGAACTCCATCCCTGTTTCTCCAGAGCCTGGCAAGGGCCTGGAATGGGCCACAGGTCTGGGACTTTATGCCAAAAGCCCAGCCTCCCTCCCCCAGGGAGACAAAGGTCCCAGCCCAAGGGTCTGCATGTGGCAGCTCCTCCAGGATCTGCCATAGTGCTCCCTCCCTCCCGTGCTCCCTCCCATGCTCCCCACCCGTCCTCCCCTCCGCACTGCCCACAGATCCATCCTCCATCAGGAGGGCGCACCTGCCCCAGCGTCTTTGACTGTCTTCTCCTCCTTCCCAGGCTGGTCGTGGGTGCCCCCCTGGAAACCAATGGCCACCAGCAGACGGGAGACGTGTACAAGTGTCCGGTGACCGACGGGAACTGCACCAAACTCAACCTGGGTAACGTGGGCCGTGGGCTCTGCACAGTGAGGCCAACCCTTGTCTCGCACGAGGCAGGCTCTCGTGCACGGCCATGTCTACAGTCACACTGGCTCCTCCCAGCCCCCCTCCCCCCGTGCCGTGGTGAGGTGACCCTGCTGATATCACAGCCCCCATTTTATAGATGAAGAAACTGAGACCAGAGAGAGGAAGCAACTTTCCCATAGTCACATAGCTCGTGGGGGCTGGCCAGGGTTCCAGCGCAGGCCTCCTATGCCCGGATCATCCTCTGCCCATCAACTCAGGGTTTTCTCTCCCAGCAGGAGAGAAATATTTCCTGTCTTCTTTCTGATTTTGAAATAACAGCAACAATAGCAAACATTCATGTATCTTAGGTAATGTTCACCATGTGCCAGTCACGTTCGGCTCGTTTAGTCCGAGCAGTACCCATATGGGATTTAGCCCTGGAACAGATGGGGAATGACAGCATACAGAGGTGAGGGGACCTGCCAGGGGTCACCCAGCTAACAAGCAGCAGAGCCAGGATTCCAATCCAGGCAGTCTACGGGCTCCCTTTAACCACTGCCCAGCACTGCCTTTCTGAAATGCAGGCTTTCCTCTCTGCGGAGCTGCCAGGCGAACTCTGGAGCAGAAGCTGGGAGATGCTGCGAGCAGCCCTCAGCCTCCGAAACCCTCGTAAAATCTACTTGTGTATATGTGTACGCATGTGTATGTCTGAGTGTGTGTGCATGCACATGTGTGTGTCTGAGTGTGTGCATACACATGTATTTGTGTGCACATGTGTGTCTGTGTGTGCCTGCACATGAATATGTCTGAGTGTGTGTGCATACTCATGTATGTGTGTATGCACATGTATATGTCTGAGTGTGTGCATGCACATGTGTGTGTGCACATGTATATATGTAAGTATGTGTGCATGCATATGTATGTGTGTACACACGTGTGTGTGCATGCACATGTATATGTCTGTGTGTGTGCACGTGTGTCTGGGTGTATGTGCATGCACATGTATATGTCTGTGTGTGCACGTGTGTCTGGGTGTGTGCATGCACATGTATATGTCTGAGTGTGTGTGCACATGAGTGTGAGTGTGTGCATGCACATGCATGTGGGTGCATGTGTATGTCTGAGTATGTGTGCATGCGTGTGCATCCACAAAGTGCACACACCAGACCACTAAAGCACTTCCCCTTGTCCTACATGTCAGACAGCTGCGGGGCCGTTTGCTCTTCATTCGCGCTGAAGAGCTGCAATTCCAGGCCTCGCCCTGGAGGAATGGCCTTCCCCGGAGCCAGGACCCCCTTCTAGGAGGGGAGCCCCTGCCCTAGAGCAGGGATGGGCTCCCGGGAGGGTTGGGATGGGAAGGGCAGTGGGGCCCGCTAGGGGAGATGGCAGAGGTTCAGGAGACAAGCCAGGGATGAAAGGCCGGCATCCCAGAGAAAGCCCAGAGAACTCTGATCCCCAGCACGGCCAGCTGTCTGTCACATGGTGCCGGAGGCTCCCACTGTCCACATCTGCATCAGCACCGTGGGTGGGGAGTTCAAAACCCAGAGCAGCCGGGGCCCAAACTTCAGAGAGGAAACAGTGAGTCTGAGTGCGGTGGTGGCTGGTTGGTGGCGTGTGGTTCCCCATCGTCACCACCTGTCAGCACAGGCTTCCCAGACAGGACAAACTCTTCCAGCTGCACCGTTTCTTCGCCGTGTGTCCACAGGGAGCTCACTTCCTCTCTCTGAGCCTCAGTTTGCCATGTGTAACGTGAGGCGAGTGGACTCAACAACCGCTAGAATCCATTCCAGGTCTAATCTGTCCCCCAACCTTTAGTGAGCACCTAGTGTGTACCAAGCACTGTGCCAGTTATTGGGATACAGCAGAGAACAAGAAACCAAGGGGCTTGGCCAGGGCAGGACAATAGTCGAGTTGACAAATTAGGAAGCAAGATAGTTCCGGGTAGGGACAATGCTGTGCAGTGAACCAGGGTGCTGCGATAAGAGGCTGGGGTGGCGGAGTGCGGGGTAATCTTAGCAAGCTGCTCAGGGAAGGCTTCTCCAAGCGGGTAACATGTGAGCAAAGGCCTGATGGAGTCAGGTGGGGACAGAGCATTCCAGACAGAGGGGCAGCAAGTGCAAAGGCCCTGTGGTGAAAACCAGTTTGCTCCGTTGGAGAACATAAAGAAAGGCCAGGGGGAGCAAGGGGTCGGGGGAGATGTAGGCTCTGTGCTTAGGCCCAGTCCACTGAGCAAAGCCGGCAGTCTGGGCAGGGACATGGACAGGTGAGCCAGCTTGTGTGAGCTCAGCGCTTCCTCTGGTGTCCGCTGCCCGTGATGCCTTCGGTTTTCTCTGCTGCTCTGGTGTCCCACGTGAGCCCCGAGTCCCTCCAGAGGGAGGGGGAGACATAAGGCCCCCAGAGCCTGGAAAGCACTTTTGAGCTGGGGCATAAGCCCAGCAGGCAGTGGGTGGCAGAGTGAGTCGGGACAGAGGAAAATGACTCTTCATTTGAGGGGCGGTTCTCTCCCTCCTGCTGAGAAGAAAACACAGGGCAGAAAGAACATCTGTGAGTTTATCCCACGGTGGAAAACGCAAGGCGGGGAAACCTGAGTCCTGGGTTTTCCTACGGCCTTTCCAGGCACTGGGCCGCGCAGTGCCAGGAACGTTCTTTCCTCCCTCTCCAGGGAAGGCTACGTGGGTGTCGCCCGTCCACACCTCCGCGGGAAGGAGTCCACCACGCGTGGAGTCAGGGTTTCAAATGAGGGGCAGGGGCTGGGGGAGGCGATGTGATTCCGGAAGCCAGGCCCTGTGCGAGGAGGGGCTTATGCCCCAGGACCTGGGGGCGAAGGCGACAGTCCCATCGCCCCCACACACACAGAGGGGCCGGGCACGGTGGGGCGTGAGCCGGAGCCCTTCCTACTCCCATGCAGGGGTCTTTCCTGCCCCTGGCCGGCAGCAGTTTCACCGGGACCTCAGTCCCAGGGAAGAGGGGGGAAAGAGGGGCAGGGGTGTGAGGGATGGGTCCCTAAACAAACGAAGGCAGAATTCTCCAGCCGGCAGGGAGTAGAGGTTACCCAGTCCAGCCCGGGGCTTCCTCTGGTCCCCACCTCTCCTGAGGCCATCAGAGAAAAACGCAAGACTCAGGACGAAACGTACATGATCTGGTGAAAGTCCCCACCCTTTTATTTACCAGCCAGTGACCTTGTGGAGGCCACTCACCCTCTCTACATCTCCGTTTTCTCGTCTGTAAAATGGGAATGGGGGCACCAGGGCCTCCCGGGACGGAGAGCGGCCTGCGAGGGCAGGAGCAGGCGGCACTGTGCAGACCATGAGGCGCCGCAGACTCCGGGGCTATTCCTGTTGTTTTCTCTCTGGCCTGCCCGACACACAAAACGGAACACTATCCAGTCACTTAGCACAGCCAACAGGGGTGGATTTCAAAAGACGCCTTACTAAAAACCAAGGAAAACTGAAAGGAAAAGACAAAAAGCACAGCTGCCCTCCTCCTGCGGCCCACAGAGCAGCCTCGTGGCCCACGAGCTGGGCTCTGCCGGGCGCCCGTCCCCCGTGCCCCGGGAGCCAGGCAGAGCCCCACAAAGCAGAACCCAGACCGTTCTTGGCCGGGCCTCCCAAGCCTTGGGAATGTCCCCTCCTGCAAGTGGGGACGGCGTCTCATAGCGGGTTGGAGCTGACACACTCTCGGGGATTGAGATCCAACTCCCCCCTTCCCGCGTGCCACGGGCATGCTTCTAGGGCGTTCCAGCTCACTTCCCTTCCGGTGCTGTGGGACGGCCGGGTGAAACCTACCCTGACGTCATTTAGTGTGGTTCTGCTCTGCCACAGAGCCAACCCCGCCCCACACCTGGCGGGCTGGCAACCCTGTCCCGAACACCTCTCCCGGCAGCCACTCCAGAGCCAGCTTCCCGGCAAGGCCCTGAACCTCTGCAAGGCTCTCGTGACGCTGGCTGTTTGCTGCCTGCGCTAGACAGTCCTCCCGGTTGTCACATGTAGGACCAGGACTGTCAGTTTGAGGGGGTCGGCTGGAAGGAGAGCGTGAGGGGGCGCAGCACAGAGGAGGCCAGCCCGGGGGGGACGACATGGCGTGTTTGGGGGGGCGGTCACAGGGGGACGTCGGGGCCCAGTCAGATGGCTGGAGGAAAGTCCCTGGCCCAGGAGGTGGAAGGCTCTGCTGTGTGCTTGCTGTGTGACCTGGGGCAGGTTGCTTGGCCTCTCTGAGACTCAGTTTCCTCGTCTCACGGGGAGTGGTGAGGAAGTAATGAGCCACGTCCGGGAAAGGGCTCAGTAAACTGTGGCGGGCGCCCCGACGAGCAGGAGAGCAGGGCCCCGGGGCGGGGGAGTCGGATGGACCCCGACGAGCAGGAGAGCAGGGCCCCGGGGCGGGGGAGTCGGATGGACTCTGCCCGGCTCCGACCCTGCCGTGGGCACCTCCGGTGACCGGCGGCAGCAGCAGGCTTGGGCGGAGGGTGGGCGGCAGCGGCTGCAGCCTGAGCTTCTCCCCTCACCTAGGAAGGGTCACCCTGTCCAATGTGTCCGAGCGGAAGGACAACATGCGCCTCGGCCTCAGCCTCGCCACCAACCCCAAGGACAACAGCTTCCTGGTAAGAGCCACCTGCCGCTGCCCGGGCCAGAAGTGGAGGGCGGGTGGGCATCTCCCCGCACGCGCTGCTGTGCACCCCACGCCCCGTCACCCCGCCCCCACCAGGCTGGGGGGCTGCTCCTCCCCAGCTCCCACTTTCTCCCCTCTGAGCCGCTGGGCCTTGCGTGTGTCTCGCGGGATGGTGCAGGCAGGAAAGAGGACTGAGCGAATCGAAAATAAATAGAAGCAGCCGGATGGGGGCCAGCCCCTCCCCTTGGGAAGCGCATGTTCTGGGCAGAGGCCGAACCTCTGCGAGGTCTGGAGAAAGAAACAGGCTGCACACACACGCTAGGGGAAGGCAAGTCACAGGTGAGTAGACAGAGACTTGCTGCACCCAAGGGAAGGGACAGGGAGCGGCAGGCTTCTGGGCTACCCAGGATTAGATGGAGGAGGCTGGAGGGGCTTCCTGCTCTGTCTTTAAAGAAGAGACGGGTCTTGGCAAGAAAGAGAAGAGAGTATCTAGGCTGAGGTGGTAGAAACATTCATTCATTTAAACAACAGTTTTTCTGAGCACTTACTATGCACGAACCCAATGCCGGGCACTGGGATTCAGCAGAGCAGAGATCCCCCCGCCCTGGTGGAGCTTACCCTCTGGTCAGAGCATGGACGGGCACACGAGCAATGTACGACTTGACGTTGGGGACGAAAGACAGCAGCAGGCGGTGCTTGCTGCAGCCCCTCAGGCGAGCACGTAGCACCAAGTGTAGGTGGCGTGACCTGCCGGCACTGTCTGCTCCTTGCCTCCACGTCGCAGCCAGCCGCCATGAGCATGGGCAATTCGGGGCCCAAAACAGGACCCTTCTGGGACTAACAGTTCCCAGAAACAGCTGCAAGAGGAGACTTCAGAGGAAAATTATCCTGGAAACCCCAGTAAGAAGCACCACCCATTTTTAGACAAGGGGCTTGTGTCACTCTTCAGTCTTGTCCCTCAGTCCCTTCAGTCCATTTCTGCTGACAGCTGAGACATCTGGGGCGTGGAGTCAGGACGCCAGGACAGCAGGACGACTGGGGCACACGGGGGCCTGAGAACAGAGTAGCCCTGCCAGGGAAGGTCGTGGGTGCCTGATGCACATTCAGCCCACAGCCCCTCGTTACCCTAGCCAGGGGCAAAGCAGGATGCCGGCCCCGTCTGCACACATAGCTGTCAGGGGCCTTGTCTCTGACCCCTTTCCTTCTCAGGCTCCTTGTCACATTCCTACTAGCTTGATTTCGCCTACTTCACAAGGTGGTGTGACGGCCCGAGAAGAATGGTGGGACACGCACACAGGGGCTTCTGTGGGTAGATTGAGTCACTGGTTTATAAATAGTCACCATTCATTGATTCACTCATCCCCTCATCCATCCTTTCCTGCATCCATCCATCATCCACCCATCCATCATCCATCCCCCCATCCATCATCTCTCCACCATCCATCCATCATTTCTCCACCATCCATCCATCATCCACCCATCCATCGTCCATCCATCTATCCATTCTTTATCCTTCCCCTACTTCCAAAAACAATTTACAGCAGCTTCAACAAATGACAAATGAAACATAACCTTTAAGATCTGGTTAAAAAAAAAATAAAGCTAATTAAAGAAAGGGGTTGCAAATAGAAAAATCACTCCCCTAAAACCAAAGTAAATTATAGCATGAAATGTAGCCCTGGGTTTCCTAACAGCAGGGCAGCAATGGTGGCATGGAGCTGGGCTTTCATTTTTAAGGACATGTCTCCGAGAGGGACTCGTCACTTAGTCCTTCAAAGAGGGGTGACATCAATGTTTTTGGTAGCAAATTTCACAAACAGAATGGTGACATTTTTTCCCCTAGTAAGAACCACAGCATGTTGTTGAGCCCCAGTCCTGGAAATTGGTCCTTAAAGACCCTCAGGCGACCACTTCAGACAGAGGAATTATTCTAGTGAGCCGTGAAGGGTGCACTCTGGTGTTTGAAAAGGCTTCCCCAGGCTGCGTGGCAGGCAGGGCGAGGATCCCTCAATGACGGGATGGAGAAGGGGGCCTTGGAAAAACAATGGAAGGGGACTGCAGGTTAGTTTTGCTCCATTGCACCTGGAACAAAGGAAACTATTATGTGTATTAACACATAGCAGCAAGAGAGAGTCCAGTTAGACTCACAGAGACCCTCTAACCCCTGGTCTGTCTTGGGCCTGGAGCTGGGCCTCAGGCCGTTGGACCCGGACCCGCTCCGGGGCCCTGTCACTGACGGGGTCTGCACCCCGCTTCACAGGCCTGCAGCCCGCTCTGGTCGCACGAGTGTGGGAGCTCCTACTACACCACAGGGATGTGTTCGAGAGTCAACTCCAACTTCAGGTTCTCCAAGACCGTGGCCCCAGCTCTCCAAAGTAAGTGGCTTCGAATCTGCAGCCTCGGGCTGAGCAGTGGACAGTCCAGAGAGGCTCGGGGCTCTGACCACTGCTCTCCTGTGGCTGAGAAACAGTGTTTGTGCTGTAGCCCTGCCCAGCCCCTGAACAACCTGGGGCGAGTCACTCCACCTCTCTGGGCCTCTGTGGGAACTGGAATCCTGGCCTGCTCTCCCCCACAGCATGCTGGTGGGGAGCGAATGAGCTCAGGTTGTGAAGACAATCCTGGCATCAAGGGGGCTCACTGCAAAAACCCTGGGCATGGAGGAGGTCACCAGGCTGGGCCACCACCAGCAAGCAAGCTATGCACTGCACAGTTCTGGGCACATTGTTCACTTAGACTACAGTGTGAATGGCGCCCTGACCTTGTGCAGTGCAGTAGCCCTGTAGGTGGAGGGCCAAGGAGAACAGAAATCTCCTTGGTGATCAATTCCACCCAGCCCTTGCTCCTGGGCTTCAGGGAGCTCTGTCCAGCTTGCCCAGAGCCTCGTGGAGCACAAAACCTCCCGCTCACTCCCCACGCCAAGAAAACCTGGGAATTAATGGCCAGACCTTGCCTCCGCAAGCCCAGACTTCTTGGCTGTGAGCCTCACTGTTTCCTCTGGGCTGAACACCATCACCCAAGCAGCTGCTGCCCGCTTTATGGAGGGTGAGGGGATTAGCACCTCGAGCTTGCCCAGCCTCCAAACAACAGGGCTGTCAAAGGAGGGAGCATGGCGCTGGGGGGAGGGGAGGAAGCATCCACGCAGTGGGGCGGGAGAGTGGTCCTCTTAGGGGACATGGCTTCTGCTCACACAAAATGGCAGAGGGAAAGGCAGGGTATGGCAGAGGGGGAGGCTGAGATCAGGTCACGTGAGGGGTCCTCTAGTGACTGTCACCGCCCTAGACTGCTGGTCCCTTCAGGCCAAGATGTGACTGTCCTAGCATCACTAATCTCCTGTTGTCCTCACCTGGCCCACCGGCAGCATCGCCCTGAGCGTATCAAATACAGATTCCAGGGCACGCCCATGAAGGTTCTAATTCAGTAGGAGTGTGTGCGTGTGTGTGTGCGCGTGTGTGCGCGCGCGTGCGTGTGCATGTGTGTGCGCGCACACGTTCCCCAAGTGAGTGTTCAGCCAAGTTTAGCAACCACAGACCTAAAGCCAGTTTCTTTCCAAGGTGTCTTAAAAATTAAGAAAAATCAGCCGGGCGAGGTGGCTCACACCTGTAATCCTAGCTCTCTGGGAGGCCGAGACGGGCGGATTGCTCAGGTCAGGAGTTCGAAACCAGCCTGAGCAAGAGCGAGACCTCGTCTCTACTATAAATAGAAAGAAATTAATTGGCCAACTAATATATATAGAAAAAATTAGCTGGGCATGGTGGCGCATGCCTGTAGTCCCAGCTACTTGGGAGGCTGAGGCAGGAGGATCGCTTGAGCCCAGGAGTTTGAGGTTGCTGTGAGCTAGGCTGACGCCACGGCACTTACTCTAGCCTGGGCAACAAGTGAGACTCTGTCTCAAAAAAAAAAAAAAATTAAGAAAAATTTGAAATTGTAAGAAAGAAATCCATAATAATAAATGCATTCTAATAGTAAAACTGGTTTAAAAATAAAAGAAACCTGGTCCCTACCACTGGATCATAAACTCCTCCGAATCAAGGAGTTTCTGTCTCAGTCACCTCTGTGGCCACCTGCACCCTGCAGGGCTCCTGCCCATAGCAGGTGCTCACTCCACGTGTGTTGAGCTAAACCCAACTGGAAGAGGACAAATCTATCAGGCTCTGTCATGCCAGAAGTGTTACGTCGTCACATGCTGGACCCAGTATGCAGGTGGGACAAGAAGTGGCTGAACAGCTAAGTCACGCAAACACTTCTAAAATGCTCTATTAAACATAATGCAGCAGGCACCTGTGTCAAAGCCGCCCCACCTTCCTCTGTCTGGTGAGCCCTAACTTCAGTGTGCCACCCCTTCATGATGCAAGAACTACTGGAATGGTTAACACACAAAAGGCTCCTGCAGCATTGTGGTAGAGCAGATTTTATAACTGCCTGAAAATCCGCCCGTCAAAATAAGCAGATGCCCAGACACAGCGGGTATGCAATGGTTCAGGGCAGCTGGAACCATTAACAAAGATAAATTACTTAGATTTTCAAAGAGGTGGGGTTACTTTACATTTGTTATGGTCCTAATGTTTTATTAATATTCTTTGTTGGCTTTTATTATTCCCTTTAATTTGGCATTAATATTACAAGAATATGAAGAAGTTGTGTTCTCTGCCTTTGTGTTCAGAGGCAGAGACAGAGGCGTGAGAGCGTGACCCGAGGATGTCAGGACCAGGTTAACTTAGTGGTTTGCTTAATGAAATAAAGAACAGGGTCAGCTCAGGTTCGTTGAGCACCTGCTTTGTGCTCAGCCCTGTGCAGCATCCTCTCGTGGACTTCTCGTGGCGATTCTGCACCGCCACTGTGCCTCTTCTACGCTAGAGAAGACAGGGGCTGAGCGGTTGTGTAAGTGGACCCAGGTCACACAGCTAGAAAGTGGCAAAGTCAGGGGTCAGTCTGAATGCCACATTCCTGGCCATGACATTATAGCTGCCTCCCAAAGAGGGAACTCAATTCATTCAGGCTGAAAGTGACAGTGCCAGCCTGTCCATGACAGTGACAACTGATTTGCGCAGCGCTGGCCACCTCAGAAGCATTGGCCAATCAGCAGGAGTCAGGTCAGTCCCTGCCCAGGAGCAGAGAGGGTCAAGCTGAATTTAAGCTGTGTTCAAACAGCCAGCAAGATGGTGGGACAGAGCCAGGAATTCCTGGGCTTGTCATTGATGTTGCCCAAATAAATGTCCAGCCCAAGGACAGCTCCCCAGGACCAGGAATGACACACATGTGGCAGAGTCATTCTTCTGTCACCCTTTGAACAACTGTTTGGAGAATCAGAGACTTACAGACACTGGCTCCTTGGGTAGCCATAACCGTGACCCCACTTCCCAGGGTGCCAGACCTACATGGACATCGTCATTGTCCTGGATGGCTCCAACAGCATCTACCCCTGGGTGGAGGTTCAGCACTTCCTCATCAACATCCTGAAGAAGTTTTACATCGGCCCAGGGCAGATCCAGGTGAGCTTCTCTGGGGCTCTTTCCTCCTGTGAACAGGGACCCCAAACCCTGCAGGTGCTGCCGTGGGGTGTGAGGGGGCATCTCTGCATGCACCAAGGAGGTGTAGGTGAAACGGATGGCGGGGCAGCCAACACCAGGGCCTGCAGCCCAGGACACCCACCTCTGGTGAGCACATCAAGGGACAGTTTAGGGGAGGCCTCACTTCATGGGTCAAACTCTGTCTTCTGGAAAAGACACCACCTGCGAAGACTGTGACCAGCCAGAGAGAGAGAAGGAAGGCAGGAGTGCTTGAGTGGCCCCTTGAGCCCTGTTGGTGAGGCACAGGAACGATTAGGCGTATTGACCTTGGAGAGAAGGCAGAGGGGGAGGAGGTACGAGCTGCCAGCTCATACTTGAAATGCTGCCTGGCTAAGGAGGGGGTAGGTTTATTCCCTATTGTTTTGGCTGAACAAGGACCAATGAAAATAATTTATATGATGGTAGATTTCAAGCCAATCTAAGAAATGACTTGGAACAATTAGAGCTGTTACAAAAAGGAGGAAGGTTCTCATGAACTAACAAGTCCCTGCCACTGGAAGACCATCCCTTAGGGCATCGGGTTAGGGTCCTGCATTAGAAGGACATTTGTACCGGCCTTTGTGGGCCCATCCAACAGTAACGTTTCATTGTTCTGTTCCTACCATAGGTCTTTAAGGGTTTTTGTTCATTTTGAAGCTTTAATATTGTCAACATTCTATCAACCTCAAGGATAAAAGAACATCTTCTCTTCCATGTTTTAAGGAACCTCAGATTCATGGCCTTCCTTCCACCCACACTGGTCCTAATATTTTAGACTTTGACTCTATGCTGAACTTCTGTCTTTCTAAGAAAGAAACGTAATTGTTGGGCTTCTCTTTAAATCACGAAGTCTCCTTTCTCTGTACGCACCCCCCACCTGTCCCACCAAGCCATCCGCATCCCTTCACCGTCTTGGGAAGGTCCTCAGCCCTCCTCACTCCAGAATCATCCGTCTTAGAAAGAGAGGCAGCTCCCGGGGTCCTGCCACCAAAGATCTAAGCTTCAGGGAGTCACGATGTTCCGTCACCCTCTCCTCCAAATCGCAGGTCGGAGTTGTCCAGTACGGGGAAGACGCGGTGCATGAGTTCCATCTCAATGACTACAGGTCTGTGAAGGACGTGGTGGAAGCCGCCAGCCACATTGAGCAGAGAGGAGGAACAGAGACTCGGACAGCATTTGGCATCGAATTTGCTCGGTAATTAGATCTCGAATACTGTCCCAGTTATCTATTGCTGTGTAACAAACTGCCACACAATTGGGTGCCTTGAAACAATGATGTATCGATGCCTCCAAGTTCTGGGGGTTGGCCGGGCTCCGCTGTTGATTCTTGGGTTCTCTCGCATGGTTGCAGTCTGGGGTCAGCTGGGGCTGTTGTCCTCTGAAGGTTCCACTGGGCTGGACGTCCAAGATGGTACGATCACATGGCCGGCAACTGTCCCTAGCTGTCAGCTGGGAGCTCAGATAGGGCCGGTGACCTAAGCACCTGCACACGGCCATGGGGCTTGGTTTTTTTCACAACGTGGTGACTGGGTTCTGAGAGGCAGCGTCCCAAGAGCGAGCTTCCTAAGAGCCCCAGGCAGGGACAGGGAGACTGCCTATGACCCCAAAGTCCCAGAATATGACTCCTGCTGCATTCTATGGGTCACGCAAGTTGCTAAGGCCAGCCCAGATTCAAGGAAAATAGAATTTGATTCTGCCTCCAGGTGGAGGAACAGCAAGGTGGCGTTGCAGAAGAGCATTTGGGATGGGGCGTGTCGTTGCAACCGACTTTGGAAACTGCGTCCTGCCACAGACCCCCCGTGAGAAGCGTGTAGGTTCTGTGAGGGCAAGATCTCCCTGTGGAGTGTCTGTCATCAATGGGCTGTGAAGAACTTAGTTAAATCTAATGCCTGAGATTGCAGAGTAATGAGGCCAGCTCCTTAAAAATCACACCAGAACTCACTCACCCAAATAAATGTTATGTCTAGGCATTGTCCATGCAGAAGGCCACATGCGTGTTCTAGTTTGAGCTGTTGTTGCTCAAAATGTTGTGCTCACCCCCACTGCAATGAGCCAATTTTAAAGAGATCCCCCAAGATCTCTTGAGCCTGCGGCTAAGTTCCTAAGATGACTATGCCAAAGGCATTTAAGTATTAAATGTTTAAATTTTACACCTGTGAATATGAGTTCCTCTAGATTCAGCGGGACCACAGTCCTGTTACCTTATAATCCCACCTCACATAGGGTCAGTCAATGTGTTTAACAGAATTCCAAAATGAAGAGCCATTTTGTAGTATCAGGATTTCATGTGGTCAGAAGATTAAGATTTTTCCAACCTCACAACTCTCTATGCTTAAGTCACTGCTCAATGAGGGTATTTCTGTTTGCCGATAAAACTTGCTCAGGCTTTTCCTAAATGAGTGTTCCTCCGTGTTGCGGTCACGCCACGACTGGGGTGAGGCGGGGGAACTCCCAGCGGGCCCCTTTGAGGTGGCTGGGGCAACGCGGGAAGGCGGTGACCACTGGCTCTCACGGTCGCGGTGCGGAGCTAACTGGCTCGCACAGGGGTGAAGCCCACTGTTTTGGCCCCATTTTGCAACCCACCCCCCTCGGGTCAATTACCATGTGTGACTCACCAGGTAGTTGAACCGTCAGTGACTCACAAGCACCGCTGGGGTTGCAATCTTCACCTCTAGTGAGTTTGAAATGCTGACCTTCCCAGCCTGCCAGTTCAGGCCCAAATTGCAGCCAGTGCCTTCAAGGCGAAAGGTTTCTCTCCTCACTTAGTTTGCTCACAATGCATTCCTTGTTCTGTGCACCCTCTAAAGGGCAAGGATCCAGGCCGTGGACTTGAGGGGTTACAAAGATGGTACTCTGTGGCCCCTGGCCTTGGTGGCTCCCAGCCCCATAGGGGAGCCATGACAAGTGTTAACTGTGACCCTAACTTGGTGAGGATGAGAGAGGGAGGGGCCCTGCTGGGGTGGGGGCAGAGAAGAGGTCCAGGAGAGGGTGGCATGTGGCCTGTCCTGGGAAGACCCTGGGACTGCAGCAGGGGCAGGTGGAGACAAGACGTGCCCCACAAGACATTCCCTCCCGATGAGGGCAGGGGGAGGGAAAGTCGAGGAACGTGCAGGTACAGAGCTGCGCTCCGTTGACCGTGGCGTGGGGTTTGTGCTGGGCAGTAGCGAGCCACGCAGCTGCAGAGATGGCACGGAGCCAGACTGTGAGGGTGCTGATGTTGCGGTTAAAATGATCGTGGGTGGCCCCTGGGGGTTCTCGGGTACGAGACGTGCCCGTGAAGAAGGCGGCCTGGCAGCCACGTGTGGCCTGGCAGGGGTGGGACCGCTGAACACACGGTGTGATTCCCTCTTTGTCCACGCAACACTTTCCATCGAGCGCGTGCTATGCGCCTCACTCTGTTTCAGGCACCAGGGCTAGATCAGTGAACAGGACAGAGCGAAAGTTCTGCCCCCATGGAGCCCACGTTCTAGGGAGGGAGGCAGACGCTATGCAAACAAACAAGTAAACAGCACAGGATACTGGAAGGAGACAGAAACTCCGGGGACTGGAGCGTGGTAAAGCCAGTGGAGCAGGTGCAGAGGGCAGGTACTCAGTCCACATCAGTGGGGTAGTGAGGAAAGGCCTCCCTGGGAGGTGACTTGAAGGCGGTGAGGGAGTTGACCAGGTGCACAGCTGAGGAAGGCTGGAGGGGAGTGTGCTGGCTCCTTCCAGGGGCAGGGAAGGGTCCAGTGTTGGGGAAGGGGAGTGGAGGGATGAGGAGCTCAGAGGGGCCGGGCCAGATCCCAGAGGGCCCAGTGGGCCACGGTCAGAGAGAAAGAGCAGCCTGTGCAGGTTTTGAGCAGAAAGCAGACATGATGTGGCCTAAATTTCCACAGGTCACTGTGACTTCTAAGTTCATGGAAACTGTTATGAGTATAAAGACCTCGCTGCTCTCAAGGAATTTGTAATCTAATTTGCAAAGGAACAAATCCAAGTGTCTTCACCCAGTACGAAATCACAGTCTAGCATCTGATGAGTCATGCTGCACTCACACTACTATAGGCTCATACAGGCAGTCACACTGTTCCACTCCGTGGAAATATGATCCTGAAATTGTTCTTGGCTCCATATACAATAAAACCTGGTTTTCCCCTGCTATACTTTTTTGCATAGAGTTTTATTCCTGGCCCTGGCCCTTCAATGAGGTCATGGAAGCATCTAGAAGCTCCTCTGAGAGAATAGTAGAGTTCTCCCTCTGCTGGGTTGGGCTCAAGCTCAAACCCTGCTCTAGTCACGTGGAGGGTGCCTCTGCAGCCTCAGTCCATAGCTCGTGCTAAAATTAAAGGGTTTTTTTTTAAAGTCAACATATCCAGAATATCATAGCACTGCTAAGAGAATGGTAGATGGTTCTTTCTCTTCACTGGTAGCTTGAAGATGTTCTGAACTAATTTATTCCAGGTTTTTGTGAATTCCTCAACATCTAAATCATGCACATCAGCTCATCAGCGTGCCGGGTAACAAGAGATACCTCTGGTACCCAAAGGCTTGTGACCCTTAAACCTGTCACTGTAGAGCTTCAATCCGTGGGCAGCCATGAGCAGACCCAGGAAGAATGACCGTGGGGTCTAAGAGTAACATTTATTTTTAGATACTTATTGGAAATTTCTACCTGCTGGGCCAGGCTCATGGGTGAGACCATGTCTGTGCTTCTCAGAACCTCGTGGTCTGAAGGAGGGTTGGCCACAGAGGCACCCAGAGCCGGTGGTGGTTGCTCATGCCCTGCAGCCCCATGGCCAGCTGCAAGAGCCTCCCTGCCATGTTGAGGGTCACTGCGCCACTGCCTCCCCCTAGGCTGGATGGCCCCACAGGTGGGCCAAGCTCATGCCTCAGGCACTGAAAAACAAAATAAAAAATGAGAAAGAGAAATATTTTTCATGGAATTTGATATTTAATATTTCCCAAAATAGGATCAAAGTAGCACTCATGGGAGAAGCCATAACTTCGTCAGGCTCTGTTGCACGTATTTCATGGGTTAGTGTTTGGATGTTGAACCACCTTTTCCGTACTTAGGAAAGTGGTTCTCAACTCTGGATGCCCATTACAACGTTTGAAAAATACTGATGCCCAGGCCACCCTCCCCAGAGATTCTGATTTCACAGTGGGGCCTAGGCATCAATTTTTTTTTTTTTTTGAGACGGGGTCTTGCTGTGTTGCCCAGGCTGGAGTGCAGTGGGACCATCACAGCTCACTGTAACCTCAAACTCCTGGGCTCAAGCAATTCTCCTGCCTCAGCCTCCCGAGTAGCTGGAACTACAGGCATGCGCCACCATGCCCGACTAGTTTTTTTCTATATAGTTTTAGTTGGCCAATTAATTTGTTTCTATTTTATAGTAGAGACGGGGTCTCGCTCTTTGCTCAGGCTGGTTTTGAACTCCTGACCTTGAGTGATCCGCCCGCCTCGGCCTCCCAGAGTGCTAGGATTACAGGCGTGAGCGTTTTTTAAAGACAACAGATGCAAGACCCATGTGAGCAGCTGGTGAAAGAGTAGCCGGGTCATCTCAATCCAGCTACGCCTTTGGTCCGAGGTTCTAATACCTGTGGGTGGCCCAAGGGGGACTCTGTCCTGGTGTCTGTGCTGGCCCCTGGAGGAGCGTTGGGGCCGCGCCACACCCACTTCCTTCTTGCCACCACGCCTGTGCTTGGGTTCCAGCTCAGAGGCTTTCCAGAAGGGCGGCAGGAAAGGGGCCAAGAAGGTGATGATTGTCATCACGGACGGGGAGTCCCACGACAGCCCGGACCTGGAGAAGGTGATCCAGCAGAGCGAGAGGGACAACGTGACCAGATACGCTGTGGCTGTGAGTCCCGCCCTGCCCAAGGGCTGTGGGAGGCCCCCGAGGCTTTGCCACCGGACCCTGGGGACTCCGAGAGGGTGTTTTCCGGGCAGTGTAACAAGTGTCCGGCCCATGAATGGGCTTCTCACTTCACCTCCTTCTAAAGAACGAGCTGAGAATCTTCTTTCGGCCCTGCGCGGGCCTACCCACAAATTTGTGGGGTTGTTGGGTTTATTTTCCCCTCCATTGCCAGGAAGGTTCTGAAACATCAGAAAACTAAAAAACACCCCCAAGGCTCCCCACTTTGAGAACCCTAGCTTCTCACAGGTGCCTTATCTTCTCCTAAAACAAGCTGTTTGAAAACGCAGTGGCACCCCGAGGAGCACCCGTGACGACCAAAATCAGTCCCGGCGCGTGGGGCGTGTGGGGAGGTCGGCGCCCTGTCCCGGTGTGTCACTCCCGCCCCTGTTCCCCGGCAGGTCCTGGGCTACTACAACCGCAGGGGGATCAATCCAGAAACCTTTCTAAACGAGATCAAATACATCGCCAGCGACCCTGATGACAAGCACTTCTTCAACGTCACGGATGAGGCGGCCCTGAAGGACATCGTTGATGCGCTGGGGGACAGGATCTTCAGCCTGGAAGGTGAGCGGTGCACGCCGGGAGGGGCCTGCTCTCCTGGGCTTGCCTCAAGTAGGCCCCACAGAGCGAAATCCAGTCCCACGGAACGGGATGGCTTGGCACGCGCCCTCCCTTGGCAACGGAGGCCAACAGCGGAGCGTCGCTCCGGGCTGGACGCACTCCATGCACAGCCTGAAGAACGGCGTTGCTGATGTTCTCATTCTACCACCGAGCGAAGCAAAGCTCCAAGGAGTGACCTGGCGAAGCTCCCGTGTAGCCTGGGAAGGTGGTGGGCTTTGAACGAGGGTTGCCAGACTTATCAGAAATGAAATGCATTTGGGGGATGGTCACACTTAAAGCTCTGACTCGAGGGGGGAGGGGGTATGGGCAATATACGTAACATTATACAATATACTTAACATTTGTACCCCCATAATATGCTGAAATAAAAAAAATAAAAAATAAAATAAAAGACTTTGAGTCAGAGGGGAAAAAATAAAATACAATACAATATTTGTGGCAGACTTACACTAAAAAAAATTGTTCATTGTCTGAAATTCAAATTCAATTCTATTTTATCTGGCAACCCTAGTTTGAACCCAGCTGGGCCTGACTCCACAGTCTGACACCCTCAACCCCACGCACCACTGCCTCCCACTCCACCGAAAGCAGGTGTTTGCAGGGTTCCTTCAGAATGCCGCCCTGCTTGTGATTTGCATAGATCTCTTCTGCACCACATATTATTACAGTGGGCCCTTCCAATATCGGGCTTCGTGTACAAGGACGGTTATAAAAAGAAACAGAAGCAGCGTCCCAAAGCCCGAGAAGCCCACAGGGCACTGGAAATGGTGAACTACAGACACCCCAAAAGAGATAAGAGTGGCCCTCGTAAACAAGGGTAGATAAACACAAAGTGTGGACGTGAGCTCTGACACCCACACAGAACTTAATATCCAAATCCGTGCATTTCCCCTCGAAACGGTCACCGTGGGTGATGTTTGGGGAACCCCTCTGAGGGGAGAGGCTTTCTGCACACGGGGGGTTCCTCATGCAAATCTGCAGTGGTGACAGGTCTCCCTCGGAGGGACGATCTGATGTCTGGGAACCATCCAAAGGCACCTGGGACCAAGTCTGGTGAACTAAAGGAGCGAACAAAGTGGGAGATTCCATTTCTTGCCAGGAGTGCACACTGTTTATTCCCATGCACTTTTCTCGATCTCCCCCGTTTCGGCAGTCTTACAGTGCGCATGCCCTGCGGTGTAACTTGTCCAGAGCCCTTCTCAGAAGTGAGCAGGCTGCTAATCACAACCCCACGTGGCCACCTGCAAGGCGCTGTGTGCCCCTCGCTGTGCAGCCCAGTCTCAGACCCCCCGACAGACAGCCCCGTCTCCTGGCGACGCCTGGGACACAGGAGCTGCGGGTCGAGCTGCAGGTGTGTCTGGCGCCGAGCAACCAGGCGGAGAGCTAACGTCTTTCTGTCCCTCTGCTCTAGGCACGAACAAGAACGAAACCTCCTTCGGGCTGGAGATGTCCCAGACAGGCTTTTCCTCGCACGTGGTGGAGGTACAGTTCACAGCCACCCTCTGTCTGTCGCACGCGTACTCTGCCCCGCTCCTTCATGAGCTGGCTGCCTCCCTCCCTCGCTGTCCCTCTTTCTTGGGGTCTCTCTGCCTCCCATGTTCCGGGGCTCCCACTTACTCATATTGTCTCAAGCCCTCTGCAGAAGTGAGCGGACTACAAATGACAAAGGCACATACCCACCTGGAAGGTGCTTGGTGACCCTCACTGTGTGCAGGTGGTGAGGGGGGCATTCCCCCCCCAGGACCCAGGTCCCATTCAGTTTACAGAGCCCTGCACAAAAATTAGGTCAGGTGGCAAAACCAAGGGCACGTGCCACCAACAGCACCATGCCCGAGGTGGCCTGGGCAACATGGGGCACATCCCTGCGTCAGTGTTGGGAGGGTGCCCAGATGTCCCCCTATGCTCTGTCAGGTGGCTGCGTGGTACCCCTCTCTGTGCGGACTCTGCATCAGATGGCAGAAGTCCAGGGGGGCCTGGCCCGCAGAGGGAGGGGCACGTGGTGTCACAGCAGCACGTATCTGGGGCTCTGAGTCACTCGGCTTCTGTGTGCCTCACCTGGTGCCGGCTCGTAGGACGGGGCTGAGGCCTCACAAGCTGGTCAGAGGGACAGAGAGTCGATGTCTGTGAGAATACTTTATAAACTGAAAAGTCTTGCCTTGTTCATAAAACTGTAAAGTCCCATATGGGGAAACATACTGACCGTACGTGCTCCTGTGGGTGTGCTGTACACAGACAGGTGTCCCAGGTGCATGTGTGTGTGTTCATGCACACGCTCTGCTGGGCTGAGCGTACTTACACGCCTCCTGATTTGCCAGAAAGGGCCTGTGAGTCCTCCTAGTTATATACCCCTTCACCATCGCTCTGCGTTTCCCTAACTCTTCTGTGAGGCGGGCAGGGCAGGATTCCTTGTTCCCGGGTCACAGACAAAGAAATCGAGTCATGAGAAGATTAAAAGACCTGCTGAAGTCAAATTGGTGTGAAAAAGATGAGGCTCGCACTCTTCCCTCTACCCCGAGCAGCTGCTCCGTGAGAGCAGGGCCAGGGAGCTCTGGGCGTCTGAGTCAGAAATCCCAAATTGGAGGGGGGGGGCCACACACAGCACGCAGCAGGCAGCTGACAGAGACGTGACTCGTCCTCAGAGGTTCCTGAGCTGCATGTGGACAGTTTCGTGTCTCTGTCTTGAATACAGCAGGATGACATAACTGCCCCCTCATGATGACAGCCGTGTTACATATGCACAGCAGTTTAAATGTTCCAGGCGATTCCTGCACCGCATATCATGCTCAGCACAGCCCTGCAAGGTCAGGTTGTGCTAATAACCCTGCTTTATGTGCTTGGGTCAGCCCATCTTTTCAGGGCCTTGTCCGTGCTGGGCCCTGGGAGAATCAGAGGTGAGAGCCCTGGCCTTAGGACCCCCAGTCTGAGGGCCGAGAGCCGGGGCACAGAGAGGAGACAGCATCCGTTTGCATGAGGGCAGGCAGCGAGTCATGTGCTCCGGCAGGACCAGCCCAGGTCTCTAGACTCTGGGGTCAGGGTCAATTAGAACATGCAACAAGGAAATGCAATTTAATTAAATCCAACAGGCATTTGTCAAATGCAACTGAAGTACCAAAAGGAACTGGAAACGATTCTTGCCACCAGGAGTGAACTTGCAAGCAGTGTAGAACAGCAGTCCCTAGCGTCGAAAGTGGCTGGAGGAACCACAGGTGACTCCTAGGAAAAAGTGTGCAGCTGCAGGAGGGTCCAGCTGCAGAGCCCTGTGCAGAGCCCCACTCAATGCCGACGGGGCAGACATGTCCACATAGAATGCTATCCAAGGCTACATGTGATCAGAGTGTCACAGAAGGAAAGGTCTCAGCGGGGAAGGGGGCGGCACTGGAGAGGGACCCTGGAGGACAAGGAGTTCAGCAGCCATGGGCGGCAGCGAGCAGGAGAGCAAAGAGCTGTGTGCACGGTCTGGAAGAAATCAGGGCGCAGTCCCAGCCCTGATGTCAGGGACAGTGAGGAAAATGAATGTCCTGATGTTTCCTTTGTTCTACAACCATCTTTTCCTACAAGTCAGGCTCTGTCACAGGCACTGAGGAAAGACATTAAGGTAACATTTCAGCGGATAGCAGGTCACAGCCTAGCTGGGAGAAAGACTCTCAGATACTAAGTTCACTCTCCTGCTCCTAATACTGTGATCTATGTATGTCCAGGGACCGAGGAACCTGAAGGGGAAAGCAGGGGACATTAAGATGGGCTTCAGGGACTCAGCGAAGCTTGAGCTGGGCCTTGGAAATGGCCCGCACAGCTCGGCGTGTTGAGCAAGATGAGGCCTCACAGGCCCCGTGGGGTCCTCAGCTTCCAGAGTGGGGAGACCCCAGGCTCAGAGCCCCTGCTTGTTACTAAGGTCAAGTCAAGGTCACGACTGCCTGGTGCAGCTCCTCCAGGTGCACGCAGCAATTCCCCTGTTCCCAGCCAGAGGAGCCAGGGTGCCTCTTCCCCACACACTCTAGTTTTGCTATTGCCCCTGAAGTTTCCATCTGGTGGAACTTTTAAAGAGACAACAGTCACATTTGAATCTGAGATGCTTTAGTATTAAAAACAAATAAACAAAAGTCCTTCCAAATCCAAAGGGATAGTGCAATGAGGTGGGCCGTCTGGCGCGGTGATGGGCCGTTGGGTGGCTGCTAGAGAGCGCGGAGGTCTTCCGGTGCCAGCCACTGATGGGCCACAGCTCTCCTGTCCCCGGGGGTCCAGCTCCTCAGCTCTCAGGGTCAGCCAGACCTCTCCAGGGGTGGGGGCAGCAGCGGGTCCGGGCGAGCCCGCAGGAGCCCCGCCCACCAGCAGTGCGCACGAATGGCCTCAGACAGCTGCTGCCTGGAAACCTGGAGCCGGAAGCCTCCCCGGGCCAGTTGGGTTCTAGCAGAGGAAAGGTCTCTCGCCCTGGGGCAGGGGCTCTAGTAGAATGTTCTCAGATGCAGGAGAAAGGCCTGGCCCCGCACCTCCTGGTTTGCTGCCATCTTATCTAGCGAGGAAACCAGACTTTGAATGAGCAAGAGTGAAAACAACAGGAGAAAGAAGTGAGGAGAGCCCAGGGTAGAGAGGAGACTCCAAGACATCACCTGGACACCCCCCAGAGTCCAAGGCTCCAGGCCACAAGGCTGATGGTGGAAGGTCAGAACCAGTGGAAACTAGGGAGCTAGAAACTAGTCTTGAAAGGGTGAGAGAATATTCCAAAAATTACCATCAGGAAGGCTAGCTATGGGTCCCTGGTGAGACTTTAGAATGGATTTTTAAGCCAGTGGTTCCATTAGCATTTGGAAATGAATGCAAAGGTCGCCAAGAGCTGGAGAGGCTTCTGTGAGTGCTAGCTGCCTGCTGGGGGTGGGGTGGGGGGGGTGAACTCCCTGTCAAGCAGGGTAATCAAGCAGGAGCTGCATGATTCTGCCAGAAAGCTTATAGAAGGGATCCATGCTTCCAAAAGGGGAGCAGACTCCAACAGCCTGTGATTCCCGTGGGCCCTGAGGGCAGACGTGGAGGGCGAGGATATGAATGCGCATCCCACACAGACAGGGAGGAGTGGCACACTGACCCTGCCCCGCTGGAGTCCACAAGTCTGCCCCAACTCCAAAAGTTTACAGAAGGAAGCGGCTTTATGAGGGTAGATCTTGTCTACACAAAAACCTTGGTGACTCACTCAAGGTGGGAAGAGATCATTTTTTTCTCTTACCTAAGGGTGAGGTCTGTTTTCACCCTGCACGTGGTGATCGCACGGGACCAGAGCCCAGTTCAGCTTTGCAACCAGCCAAGGCCAGGGAGCCTCCCGCCGCCCAATGAGCTGCCCTGCCATCCTCCTGCCTCTTCAGCCATCACTGTCCCAGGCCCTCCTGGGGTTGTGGGCTGGCTGGGAGGGGCATTGGCTATTATCTAAGGCTGTCAGCAGTTGAAGCCTTAAAGGTGTAATCTTCCCGAAGGGTTTTGCATTTGAACTAGTTTTGCATATCTGATTCAATCAGATATGAAAGGGTGACTCAGGCCTGTAGTCCTTGTACTCTGGAAGGCGGAGGCAGGAGGATTGCTTGAGCTCAGGAGTTCGAGACCAGCCTGAGCAAGAGCAAGACCCCGTCTCTATTAAAAATAGAAAATTAGCCAGGCATCATGGTGTACGTCTGTAGTCCCAGCTACTCGGGAGACTGAGGCAGGAGGATCACTTGAGCCCAGGAGTTTGAGGTTGTAGTGCGTTGTGATGATGCCACTGCACTCTAGCCGGGGTGACAAAGTGAGAAGCTGTTTCAAGGAAGAAAAATGAGAGAAATGGCAAACTGAAGAGTTGATCTCTGGAGGCTGTAAACCCTTCTGAACCCCCATACTCCTAAACAGTGGACTCCTCCACCTGTCAGCGTGGGCAGGCAGGCAAGGCTGTGCCCTGGCCCCCTCCCCAGGAGGCCAGGCCATGGGAGATGGGGTCTTCTGGCATGCTGTTCCAGATGGTTTGCAAGTTGATGCCTGGTGGCAGGAGTCATTTCCAGTTCATTCAGGTCCTCCTAAGCCCAGCCCCATGTCATCAGGATGTGCCCTTGTGCCCAGCACTCCACTCGTGGGCCTATTCCCAGGACCCCTGACCAGAGACAACCAACCCTCTGATCTGGAATGAGAGTCGGTGCACTGTGTCCCCTGCCCCCACCCCAGCTGCTGGCTTCCAGCACGGCCCGAGGAGGGGGCCTCCTGACCACAGAGGGGCTGAGGGCCCACTTCCGGGCCTTTCCTGCCCGCACCCCACCTGAACCTCCAGCCTTGCATCACCTGCTCAGCTCCACGTTAAGCCTATTGAAATAAGCCTTCTAAGGACAGAATTGGAGCAGCTAGTGAGAGCATCATCCACCCTGTAAATGTGGTACTTGCCTTAGGAGGGCCCTTGGGCACAGAGCCGAGCCCCTCTGCAGTGACTATACGGGAGTCTGGAGGAGGAGGACAGCCTCGGTGCCCTCTAGGGGCTGTCCCATCACACTACCCAGGGACCGCCAGCAGCTACCTGCACTGCTCCTCAGTCTTGCCTCAGAGAAGCCAAGAAGAGCTGGGAGGAAGAAATGCTGGCACCTGGTATCCTAATTCCATTACTGCTGGGCAAGAGGAGAGCACTGCCTGGCTGTGTGGGCTCAGACAAATCATTTAACCTCTCTGAACTTCAGGTTTGAGTAGATACCTGGGAAATATTTGTGAAATCGAATCTTGAGGCTTGGCACTGGAAGTGTACATTTGGAGACTTACTAATAAATCAAGTAAGGTTTTCTTACCATCCTTCCTAACCCACTACACACTCACCGCCTCGCTCAGCAGGGCACTTGCTCGGTCGCAGGCTTGGTAGCTGTCAGAAGGTCTGAGGCCAACTATGTCCTCCCCCGGGACCTTGTAACTCTACCTACTAGAGTGCGTGTAGCACCTAATTCCATTACTGCTGGGCAAGAGGAGAGCACTGCCTGGCTGTGTGAGCTCAGACAAATCATTTAACCTCTCTGAACTTCAGGGAAGTTCCTGGCACTCCCGAAACAGCCTGTCCCTGACTCCGTCAGAGCACTTCTCGCATGCTACCACGGTGACAAACCTGACTGTGGGATCTCGTTCTGCTTTGACCCCCGGCCTTCCTGGGAGATGCCTTATGGGTGAACTCACAAATGAGCAGAGCTACCACGTACCTAGTACTGGTTGGCTGCAAATACCGGGCTAAGAATTAAAAATGCTAACTCTCACAGCAAAACTGTTCTACAGCTGAGGACTCTGAGGCTCAGAGAGAGAGAGAGAGAGAGAGAGAACGATGTGCCCAAGGTTGCATATCTAGAAACTTTGGAGCTGGAAACGGAACTCAGGACTGTCTGGCTCTGGAGTTCACGCTGTAATGCTCTAACCACTAGGCCGGGGATTCCCCACCTCAGCCCAGTGACATCTGGGGCTGGATAGCCCTTTGTTGTGGGGCTGCCCTGTGCATCGCAGCAAGTCTCACAGCATCCCTGGCCCCCACCCACTAGGTGCCAGGAGCACCCCCACCACCTGCCCACCCATAACACGAAAGTCTCTGCAGACATTGCCAAACATCTCCTGGGGGGCCAAAGCAGCCCCGTTGAGAACCACTGCCCTAGACCACGCTGCCTCCAGTGCCGCAGCCGTGGCCTACCCTGGCTTAGACATGGACTGGCCAGAACACGGAGCTCTGGGAGATAGGGTCGCACGCCCAGGGAGCATGCAGCAGAGGGGTGCAAAGGCCAGGTCAGAGGGCAGCTGAGAACAGAGCTGGCAGGATCTGACCCCGGGTGCTACACGCACTCTAGTAGGTAGAGGTACAATGTCCCGGGGGAGGACATAGTTGGCCTCAGACCTTCTGACAGCTACCAAGCCTGCTACCGACCTCACGATTGCATGGAGTGCCAGGAAAATTGCTTGTGGGAAGGGCCATCCGCATGCAAGGCCACCGAGGCGCACGCTGGTTATATCTGGTGGGGACTTGGGTGGCCCCAGGAAAGGATGCCATAACTCGGGGAGACCACGCCAGGCCTGCAGCGCGTGGGAGGCGGCTTTGCCCCGCAATGCCCTCTGTTTGTTTCGCTGGGCCCACACGCCTGGCTTCCGCTGGCAGGGCTCTGGCCCTCTCTTGTTTTTGCCCTGCCCTTCCAGACTTTTTCCAAACTCAAAGTGTCTGGGCTCCTCCAGCTGTGCAAAGTGTGTGGCATGCTGAGGTCTGCTTTGGTGCCCCTGTCCTCAGGAAGGTGCCCCACGGCCCCGACAAACCCACTCTGGGGAAAGGGGCTCCCTCCAAGGGCCCAGGGCTGCAGCTGCTGCCAGGGTTAAAGTGGCACAGGTGAGAGACCCGGAGCGACCACTCAGCCCAGCGCCGCCAGACCAGGCGTCCCAAGGGAATTCCCAACCCGCCCCCGCTTGCGCAGAGTCAGCGTGAGGGTCCCCAGCTGAATCCCTAGACCCTCTCCATGCACTGCAGAGGCTACCTGTCACCTGCAGAGCCAAAAATTCACCCTCAAAGGCCTCTCCATGAGGTGGAGAAGTTGGACTCAGCAGGCAGAGAGGGAGGGAAGGAAAAAAGGCAAGCCCAGACAGTCTCTCCTCCCAGAGGGGGTTCAGGTGGGAAACCGGAAGCAGGATCCACACTGGATTTGGGGAAAACAGGTGGATATTTTCTTTTCTGCCCAACTCACCTCCCCAGTGAAAGTCCCAGCCACTCCTCTGATTTGCTGTGTGACCTTGGGCAAATCCCTTACCCTCTCTGAACCTCAGATGTTGATTTGTCAAGTGCAGATTAAGGACCTCTGTCTTCTGGCTTCATGAGGGCTTTGTAAGCCCAAATAGGGGGCTGGGTGAGAAAGCACTGCAGAAAGAATGGAGCACACCCATGTACGAGGAATGTCGGTGGTGACTTCATGGACAGCGAGTATCTGAGTCCCTGGCTCCAGTCCTGGCCCTGACAGACTGTCAGAGCCTCCTGGACTGAGGCTCGAGCACAGAGGAGGAGGAGGAAGCAGGCTAATTAGAAAGTGCGGCGTTAAACATAACCAGATGCACAGCCTCTCCCAAGACCAGCTTATTTACAGTCGTAAAAACATTCTGTCTGAACAGCCAGTTCCACCTCTAGAGGCTTAGGGGTTTTTAACCCTTTGATAAGATCAACTTTACTCTTTAAAGTGGTGGGGAACCTCAAACCCAGCCAGCCAGCTGGGTTCAGGGAGGGCTTAGTGGGACAGAGAGGTGACTTTACCGCTTGTGCTTTAAAAGCCCAAAGCTTCCATCAGTCTTCCTCATATAAAAAAAAAAAATAAAATAAAAAAAAATAAAAGCCCAAAGCTGGGATACAGACAATCTGCCCCAGCCCCGTCATCCCCAAGGCAGGCCAGGAAAGCGGCCCTTCCCTGCTTCCACCACCTTCCCTGGGCCCCCACTGCCCCTGGTACCTTTCTTCCTCCTCCAAGTGCTTGCTGTTTGTCTTCCTGCACCCACTGTTCATGGGGTTGTCTAAGCTGGGGGTGGGGTGCAGGGGCAGCCCCGAGAGTGAGTGGGCCTGGGCCTCAGGAAATAGCCGTGCAGTCAGTACATGGAAACTTCCCCTCCGGGACCCGGAGCTTCCTGTCTCCCTGCCAAGCTTCACTGGCAGCATCACTTGCCCTGCGATGAGTGGGTAGAACAGCGCCCTCCAAGCCCCGTCCTCGGGGCGTGGCCCTGGCTTCTCTGTGCAGCCCCATGTCCAGCCTCTCTGCCCCTCTTACTCAACGCTCCAGTCCCACCAAACAGTGCTCACTTCCTTGAAAGCAAAGGCTCTGGCCTCTCTGCAGCCCTTCTGCCTGGACCGACCCAGCTTTCAGGTGTCTGGGTAAACATCACGTCCTCAAAAAGCCTCCCCCTGACCCCCGTTGCAACCAAAATTACAGCTCCCCATGGTTTTCCCTGATTGCGTTTGTCGCAGTTTGCAACTGCTCATGCGTGTTTGTTTATGTGTTAGGATCTTTGAGCTCTGTGAGGGCAGGGACAATATCCCCAGCACCAAGCAAGTTCCTGGCACAAAGTAGACCTCAGTGAATGTTTGCTGAAGCAATGAAGAGGGAGTAGCATTTACCCACAGGGAAGCAACTCGGACACGGCAAGGGGACACTGAAGGAGTACAAGGGCAGGGCCACAGCCGGAAGGAGTGTTGGAAGGAGGGGAGGGTGACCAGAGAGTTCCTAGAGGGTTTTGAAGCCCAAGGAGGAATGGAGGTTTGGATCTGGATTGGGAGTTGTTGTTGGGAGTTGGGGATCTGGATTTGTTTCTAGAACATTTCTTTTTTCCTAAATTCCTATCCTGGGGAGCAGCTTAACCCATTCTGTGCTAAGGTTGGGATGGGGCAAGAGGGTCTCCTTGTCTCATTCAAACGCCAAGAGCCCGGGCTGGAGGTTGGGTTGCTTGACAGTGACCCCGGGAGAAGGTGCCCAAGGTCGCTGGCGGGTGCTTCACTGGTCTCAGGACCTGGCTCCCAGTGAGGGGCCAGCGGGAACAGGAGCTGATGCGTGTCCCCTGCCCGGCGCCAGGACGGGATTCTGCTGGGAGCTGTTGGCGCCTATGACTGGAACGGAGCTGTGCTAAAGGAGACAAATGGCGGGAAGGTCATTCCTCACCGCGAGTCCTACCTGAAGGAGTTCCCCGAGGAGCTCAAGAACCACGGAGCATACCTGGGTAAGAGCCCGGACTGAGGGGAGGGGCGGCGGTGGATGAGGAGGGGACCCGGGGCTGCAGAGGCCCCAGTGCACACAAGCACCCGACCCTGCGGAGCAACTCAGGGGCCGCTTCCTCTCCAGCCTGGCACCCGCCACACCCAGCACCCTGCCCGGTGTGACAGGCACTGCACCCCATCCCCACCTTTGTCCCTCACCTCTTCAGCCACATGCCCTGCCTGTGACGCTGCCCACACTACAGTTACACCATTTTCCAACCCCAACTTTGAGGCTCTCCACTGACAACAGGACAAAATGCTGGAATTAGGACTTTCCTCAAAAATCCAGAGGTGTAAATCCCAAGAAATTTCCCACCAGCAGCTGGCCCTAGGGCCGGGTTCCATACAATTCACAAGGCGTTAAGTTAAATCTGGACAGTGCGAGGCGTGCCCGTGCTTGATGCTATCAGAGTGCGATGGTGAGCAGGCCACAGCCCTGCCCGGAGCTACTTCCCGGCCAGTGAGGGGCAGAGACATGTAGATGATTCTAGCACAAGTGAGATAAGGCTTAGATAAAAGCACAAAGGAGGCAAGGGTTGGGGTCCTTGCCTTGGCAAATGCTCAAACACTAGGAAGGATGTCAGGACAAAGGCCAGCACCCCTTCAACTGGAATGGATAGTGTCCTATAGTCTGCCCCCCGAGTGTGCAGCACTGCACTAAAAGTGAGGAAACCAAGGAAGGGGTGCGAGGTGCAGGTGCCTCGAGGCATGGACCAGCAAGGCAGATCACACCAGCAATGTCCCAGGCCCCATGGGGTTAATTCCAAGCGAGGGGGAGAGACGGCGGGGCGGCTGTGGTCCAGCAGGCTGCGGCACTCTGGGCTCCCCGTGTGGGAGCTGGAGCCTGCACCGGGTCTCCAAGACAGGGAGAGTTTTGAATAAGCCAGAAAGGTTCGACAAAGGAGGGAGGTGTGGGAAGTGCCAGGTCATTTCAGGACCTGGGAAATAAACCAGTATGGATGGAGTACAGGGGAGGAGTGGGGACAGGGAGGGGAAGGCAGTTTAGGGCTGGCACAGCGGGAGACCTCGAATGCCAGGCTGAGGGGGTTGAGCTTTTCCATGTTGGCAATGAGGAGCTATTGAAGGTGTCTGAGTGAGGGTGCAGCAGGATGAATATTCCCCCGCCTAGCAGAGCTGGCCTCCTTCTCCTCCCAGAAGACCCTGGCAGGGTGGAGCCAGGCTCAGGGACACCCACGAGGCCCAGCTGTCCCACCCTAACCACAGTCACCGTCTCGAGGATTCCCGAGGGAGTGCCTCCACCCTCTGGGAGTCACCCAGTGTCTGAGTTCTCTGCTGGGGCAGAGATCCCTGCTGGAAGATTCCTCCCGCATGTCCCAGGGAGAGAGGGAGCTACGGGGCAGGAGACGGGGAGGCCCAGCCCTGCGGAAGCAGTAAGGACTTCTGGCCAGGGTGCTGCCCCACCGTCTCATCAGGCCTCGGGGGGCTGGCCTCAGGGCCACCTGGGAGTGCAGGGCACAGCCAGCCCATGGCTGGGAAGCAGGAAGCCTTACAAGCTTTGCAAGCCGGCCACAGCATTGCCAAGCCCGCCCAGTGTCCCTCCTTCTGAGGAAGCCCAAAAGCCCAAGGCTGAGAACATTTGCCACTGAGGGCACAGCTCGGAAGAAATTTTTGCTGCGCACCACAAAGCTGATTCCACCCATTCCGTATATTTATGGCTGCTCTAAATACAGGGCCGTGTTAGCCACCCTCTGTGCAAGGCCCTGATCCTACGGACCCATCAAGCCCCGCTTCCCAGAACGCACTGCCAAGAGTCAGAGACGTGCCTGGAACCAGAGTAGGCCACCCTGCCGCCCCCCACACAGCCAGGCGCGGAACCGGCTCATCTGCAGCCACTCTGGAAGCAGCCGGTGGGACCTGAGAGACCGTGTCACACACACGTGCACATGCATGTGCACACACACACGTATGCACACATGAATTGACACGTGCACACAGCAGAAAGACACATCTGTTTCCCAGGAACTGTCAACAAGGCCCAATACCCATGTGAAATCTGGGATCCAGTATCCAAGACTGTCCGGCAGGAAGTGGGACTCTGGGATGCCGTGGGCCTTGCACACCTGCTGGGACCCCACTTTCAGGACAGTGGCTGGGGGTGCCGGACATTCACCCCCTGGGTGCCTGTGGGAGACTCGAGCTTCGCAGTGATCGAGCACAGCGACCCAGGGGGATCGGCAGCCTTTTCAAAAGGGCCCTGTGGTTCCCGGAGCCCCTTGGTTTCCATCTCTTCCTCGTTTGCGTGGCGTACCTGTGGGACTGAGAGGAGCCTGGGAGCTTCCTCCTTGGGGTCTTCAAAGCTTTGGGGCTGCAGGCATCCCTAAGACCCTGCGCAAATGCCCGGAGCGAGGCAACTCCCTCCGCCTTCGCAGCTACCACTGCAGTCACCAGCGAGCCACTTAGCGGGGCTTTGTGTAATGAAGAGGTCACTGGTTGGCCCCCGGGAGTGGGGATTGGTGGGGCGGAAAACGAAGTCTGCCACATACATGAAGTGTGGCTCGCGGTCGCCCAGCCCCTGCTCCCTGCTCCGCCTTGCTGGTGAGCGGGCGACGGAGGGATGAGTACCTTTCAAGGTGGTAATGTCTTTATCGGCCCCACCCGGCTTCCTGTAGTGTCTGCAGCATGGGGTGGGGTGCAGTGGGGCCTCCCCACCCGCCAGCCCCTCCTGGGCCCTGCCTCTCCCAGGCCTCCCCGCTGTCCTGGGCAATCACTGCACCTGCTCGGCCGGCCCTGAACCCGCCCCGTCCCCGGCGCATCCCCCGGCGCAGCTGAGCCACCAGCCGGGCCTGGCAAGACCTGCTGGGACGCAGCACCAGACACCACCTGTTTCCTCCTGTGGCAGGGTACACCGTCACGTCAGTGGTGTCCTCCAGGCAGGGGCGGGTGTACGTGGCCGGAGCGCCCCGGTTCAACCACACGGGCAAAGTCATCCTGTTCACCATGCACAGCAACAGGAGCCTCACCATCCACCAGGCGCTGCGAGGCGAGCAGGTAATGGAGGGGGAGGCTGGGGCGGGCAGAGGGAGGGCAGGGAACAGGCAGGCCTGAAGGAGGCAGCGGCAAGAGCTGTGCATCCACCCACGGAAGGCCCCGCGGGGCCCCTTCCCCCGGAGTGGTGACGATGGGAACGCTGCCTGTGCCACTGCCCCACCGGGATGTGGCTGGCAGACTGTGGTGCTAAGAGTCTCGCGGCCGACAGTGACAGATGCAAATTGGAACGCTGTGACAAGAGTCATTGGTGGAGAAATCAGGCTTCCAATCCAAGTCATTTCAATGACTTGCTGCCTTGGCTCTCGTGGCTCTTTTAGGATGGAGGATTTGTGGCTGGGTCAAGTGGAGAACCCAGGCCTCTTGGTGGCACTGTCTTGCACCATGCCACTTCCTGACCCCCAATGACCCCCAAACCAGGCCTCAGCGTCTTCTGACTGGCAGCATCCAGGGCCCTGGGGCCAAGCCGAGCGCTGTCTGGGCCCCTCCCTGTCGTCTCCCGCTCCCTTTGGCTCTGCTGAGCCTGGGACAGCCCTGGCCCGTGCATCTCCTCCTGCCCTTGGCCCGTTCTCCC